GAGAATGACTTAATTTCCCCTTCACTTCTGAAGGATATTTTCCTTGGCTACAAGATCCTTAGTTGACAATTTGGAAAATGTTGTTATCTCCTGGTTTGCATGGTTTCTGATGAGAAATCCATTGTCATTAAAAGTAACTGTTAAGTTAGAAAGGTGTTGCTCTCTTGCTGCTCTCAAAATTTTTTCTTTGTGTTTAGTCTTCCGAAGTTTAATTATGATGTTTTTGTTTGAATTTCTTTGGATTTATGCTGTTGGAGGTTTGCTTTGCTTCTTGAATCTTATTTGTTTATGTCTCTCTTAAATTTGGGGAAATTTCAGCCTTATTTTTTAGAATAATTATTTTTGTAGCAAAGATTACCAGAAGTAGAACCTCTGGGTAAAAGAGTCCAAATATTTAAAATCCCATAGGTATTTCAAATAACTCTTTCAGAGTTAATGGCAATTTTTACTGCCAATGAATAGAAGTGCCTGTTTACCCAGAAGTTATTCTTAATCTATTAACAATAAACTTCTGATGTCCTAAGCAAAAATGTTTCTGTTTAACCTGCATTTACTTTTAGTGAGATTGAACATCTTTTCATATTTATTAGGCATTTGTACTTCTCTAATGAATTGGTTTTTTTTTTTGATGAGTGTGTCGTTCATTTTATTTTCTGTTTTTGATAAAGTTTGCTTTTGCATTTTGGAAAACATGTCTTTTGTTAGTTATGTTACCATTTTATTTTTGCCAGTTTGCCTTGTTTTGTTTTTTTGTTTGTCAAACAAAATTTAAATTTAACTACTAAAATTTATAGGGCCTTATGTTGTCTCTAATTTTTTTAACCTATTTAGAAAGGCTTTTCCTTCTGTAAGATTTTAAAAATATTCTTTTATAGTTTGCTTAGTATTTCCATGATTTTATTTTCAAATTTAAACCTTGGATCCACATGGAATATATTTTCAAGTAAATGTGAGGTAGCATAGCAGGTCTTTTCTATCAGGTTTTAATGCAGTAACGTAGTAGGGGGGAGGAGAAAGGCAAGTATGAGAATGTATGACTGGGAGAAAGAAAGTATATGACAATGGTCTAATCAAAGAGAAGTCTCCTCTTAGAGTTCTCTTCATGCTACCCAAAGAAAAGCGTAAAGTCAATTGGAAGTGTGAAAATTGAGAGAAACATATTTAAATCGGGGGAGGGGGGCTATAGCTGATTACTAAATAACTTTTTCTTTTGTGAAAAGCTGGAAAGAAATAAGAAAATGAAATTGTATTGTGATTTTGTGATGCTGTTGTTTTAGTGCACTTCCCCTCCTTGACTAAAAAAGACCTATAGCAACTGGTGTCAATATTATATTTCCTTTATAGTGCATCAGTAAGACTCTTGTCCACAGGAAATTACCCTTAAAGGAAGATACTCATTTACTTAATTAATAAAATATTTTTAATTATCTGTTAAGGAGACAGGTGTGGGTTAATGCTTATGTGCTTAGTCTCTGGGATCAGACTGCTTGGGTTTAAATCTCAGTCTAATAACTTACTAGCTCTGTTATCTTGGAAGGTCACTATCCTTTTTCCTTTGCAAGTGGGGATATTAACACCTCATAATATTGTTGCGTTAGAACAGTATCAAACATGTAGTAAGGAAATGGTGAATGTGAACTATAATTAATGCTAATTCCTGGAACTAGAGCATAATGGATATGTCCTTGCAGTTATGGGCCTTATATTCTTGAGTTAAACAAATTTAAAAGGTAATGTTCTGGAATAGAAGGGACTGAGAGTATATAAGGGAGTGGGAGGAGAATCTCACTTTAGACAACATTGTTGATTAGGGAAAGGCCTCTCTGAAGAGAGGACATTTAAGCTGAGACTTGAAGGATGAGGAAAAAGCAAGTAAGTTAGATAATGGAGAGAATAATGTTGCAGACAGTGGAAGCAATTAGACAGATAGGACCTTGTAGACTGGAGTAAGGAGTTCGGATTTTAAATTCTCTAGGAAACCACTGAAACAGGAGAGAGGGACATGATATAATTTTTCTTTTAAAGAAAGATTAAAATTAGGTTTTTGGTGGTGATTATAATGCAGTATATATAGAAGTCAAAGTATGATACTGTACTTCTAAAACTTGTATGATGTTATAAACCAATATCACTTTAATAAAGGTTTTGGACTTAAGAATCTGGAGTTCAGGGTCAGCTTTTAGATGATATTTAGTTACGAATATGGATTTAAAAAGAGAGACGAGGGTATGGGATTATGTGTAATTGTTTTACCTTTAATGTAGAAGCTATGAGATATTAAAGGGAGAAAGGGCTAATAATAAAGGTAGGGCTATATTTCAGTGCTGTATTTACAAAAAGTTCTAGATTTTATCCCTGGCGCCTCCATTTTCTCTTTGCCTCCTCAGAGGACAGGGCAGGGCTATAAATTCTTCAAATCTTTGTCACTTCCACACACACACACACACACACACACACACACACACACACACACACACACACGTATATATATATACATATATATAATATACTACACATATTAAATATATATATATATGTACACACACACACTCTTCATGGAATAAAGCAAACTTACAAAGTTAATACTAGTTGAGTAAATGAATTAATATATGAGTGCAATGGATGAGAACAGCAGCTTCATGATAGTGGGTACAGTTTTGTTATATTTAAAATGGCAATAATAAAAGTATCTGTCTGGACAGGATTTCTAACGAAAGAAATTATAGCAGCTAGTACAGAGGCAGTGTTGGGTTAATTTTCGCTACTGTCAGCTCTGCATTTCATGTGCTTATCCATAAAATGGGGCAGTAACTTCTGCCCTTTTCCTCACTAGGCCATTTGTGAAGCCCACGTAGTTAACGTTTGACCCTACAACAAGTTATTAATTAATGTTTTAATTGGTCTGAACCTACTTTATAGTCAGTCTCCCCACCTTCCAACAGATATTTAAACAAAACGCGTCTTTAAAGAGACCCAGCCTTTGGTTAGATAGTCAGCTTGTCAACCTAGCCATATCTAACCAATTGAACTGAAAACTGCACCCCAAAGGAAGCTCATTAGCTGCAGCGTTCAATTTTAAAATCCTCAGCCCGCCCCTTCTTGCTGGGCGGGCCCTCGCGGCAGCTGTGCACGCTGATTGGCTCCTTCCCCAGCCAATCGTCGCTGACTTCCTCTGGGGCTGTAATTTTCAAAATTCTCTACTGAGCCGAAAGGACGGAGCGCAGAGCAGGTTGAGACAGACACACACGGTCGCCACGACATGGAACTCGGTTCATTTCCCGGGCCTCTCTTGGTCTAGGGGCACATCCATGGTCTCTTCCTGTTCTGCTCTCAATCTCGATGTGAGGTAGGCTCCATTGGGCTTGTACCGCCGCTTGAATGTCCGGCTCTGTCACACGTTGGTCAATCCTTCGGCATCACTCTAGCCCTTTTTACCGTCTGTGTTCCCTTGACAGGGTGCAGGGCGTCTTGTTTCACTCTGTCAGCCTGTTGGCGCAGTGAGCTCTGTACGAGGTGGGGCAGGGAGCATGTGTTGGAGGGTGAGATGGCAAAGCAAACGGGATTGGATCCAGCTTGTGGGTGGAGCAACTGGTGCACATCCCTGAATCAGAGTACAAGTACAGAGCGTCTTCCGCAAGTGGATGAAATTCATCCTGCACAATTTCCCAAGATTGCTGTTTGAAGGATTTCTAAGGAATATGAAGGAGGATGGAAATCTGTCCTCTCTCCCTTGTTATCTCTTTTGTCGCCACTGGCTCTCTTCTATTCCCACTTCCAACTCCTCCAGCTCTGTCTTTCCCACTGCTCTCTGTTATGGTCCTCGGAGAATCCTATCATGTCGCAGCACTGTTCTAGGGTTCTAGAGTACCCTAGAACAGTGCTTCTTAAATTAAAAATGTGTGAAAATCACCTGGGCATATTGTAAACTTGAAGTTCTGATTTGATAGGCCTAGCTTGGGGCCTCGAGGTTCTAATTTGCTGACAGATTCCCAGGTGATGCTAATCGCAGTTTGAGCAGCTGGGAAAACTCTGGTCCCACTGCTTCATTTCACTGGTGGGGAAAGGAGGCCTAGCAAGAGCAAAGGGACTTGCTCAGGGTTCCCCAGCGAGCTAGGGACAGGGCCAGAGCTGGACCCTAGGCGCCCTTCCCACAATAGTACTGCTTTTATTTATTTCGGTCTGCCTTCTCATCCCAGTCTCTTGCTGTCTGTAACCTGCCTTTCTATATGTAAAATGAAATTGTTACCTCTATTGAAGTTGCTTCCTCTATTCTGTCTTGAGCTATAGTTTTGGAATTTGAGCCAACTTGCCCCTAAATGAGTTTCAGCAGCATTCCTACGATGCCCAGTGGGGTCTCTGACATTTATCAAATTGTATCAGTGAAAAGTCTGTAAACTAGAAAGGATTCTATTCCAAGTGAGGTTCAGGGTTCTGGAGGTGGTAGGAAGCGAGTGTTCTGCACAGACTCCTATTATGAAAAGCATGGCTTTGATGGTGTCAATCCCTTTTTCCCTCCTAGTGGCAGGGGAATTAGTGACTTAAATCAGTGTGTATGTCCCTTGAGATAAGTGATTAATGTTCAGGATAATGGATCAGGGTAAATGATTAATGTAATTTGCCCCCTCTATTTCTAGGCTTAACCTAGGGGCTAGGTCACAGTTCCAGTACCCACAGAGAATGGCAGGCATGGGGCTGAGATAATGTATAATGTATCTCATTTAATTTGGAGAATGCCCTGCACAGGTAGGTATACTTAGCTCTGTTTTACAGATGAGATATCTGAGTTTAAGCCACTTGCCCAATGTAAATTGTGGTAGAACCGAGTTTTGAGCCAAGATCTGCCTAACTCAAAGTCTGTTTTCTCCTAGGGATGCTATAGAAAGACTGCTTTTTTCCTGAAGTTTCCAGCAGATTCTCTGATGTTTCAGTGAATGATATTTTAAAGAGTCCCTTTTTGATTGCAGCCCTGCCTTGGAGAGACACTTCTGGATCTGTAAGAGATGCCATTGCCACTACCACCCCGAAGCACCAAGTCTGAGACTAAGAAATCTCAGTCTACCAAAGTTAGGCCCAGTGATCATGGCCAGACTGAAAAGGTTAGAATAAGCTGTCTCTCCTTCTAATGTCTCGAGTATTTCCTATACATTTTATGGAACATGTGTGGTTAGTCTGAGAAAGTGGGGAGGGGTGGCCTCCTAACACCTTGTCTTTTCCATGGTACATGACTGACCATCCTCCAAAATCTTCAGAGGCAAACTCACACAGCCTTCATTATTGAGCACATTGTTGCTCTCTCTCTGAGATGCTCAAAGCACCTTGCCAAGAGGCTGCTTAGTGCAACCTGGGAAGAGTTTGAAGATTAGGTCAACAAATGTATTATACTTTTTATAGCAATTAAATTTGAAGATTGAGTACATTTTGACTCTGTTGTTATGACCTTGTGGTTTGTTTGCCATTGTCATCCTCACTCTGGGATGTTCTGTGTTTGTCATTTTACATATTTTAATTATAATTTTACAAACACTAATGAATTATCATCAAGAGAGTATTTCCTGGAACAAACATCATTAAGCTAATTTAATTTCCTTGAGTGGTTTTCTCTCGGCATAGATAAAGAATTTCTAATCATTTTCATTTTGTTCCACTAAAATGATTTTCATGGAATGGTCAAATGTTTTCTTCCTATGTAAAATTGGATAGGACAGTTTGATACATTGATCATATATCTAGCCATATCAATTTTTCTGATCGGAGTTCTGCCATTGAAAGTTTTATAGAAGTTATTTTTCCAAATCCAGCTTCCTTGGGGGCATATTTTGCAAATCTAAATTTTATTGAGTTTGGTTTTACTTGTTGATTTTAGTTGGGACTGCTTAGGTCTATCAGTGGTATCAAGTAATACTTGGATAATAGACCAACAGTTGATTTCTTAGACAATTTGTGAGAAAGTCATATTCACCTTTTTGCTAATTATTTCCAATAGGCTTATTCATTACAAACCACAGAGTTGTTGAAAAGCCAGGATACATTTTTACTTGAAACACAGAAAAAAATATGTCTTGACTTTTCCAACAACCCAGTATATAAAGACTCATAGTTTCCTTATTTCTTAGCTTAACCCATTAGAAAATAGAAGTAATTCTTCCCACCTCTTTCACGATTGTTCTACTGTGCTAGATTGATCTATTGTAATACAAATATAATTCTCTAAATTTCTTATCACTTACATGTCATGGGTTAACTATTCCAGGGTATAAATGGGGGGACAGAGCAAATAAATGGTCTAAACTCAGTGCTTTACTTCACATTATATGAGAATCTGATATTGGTAGGGAAGGGCAGGCTTTGTTCTCATTTCATTAAAGAAATCTGATGCTTAGGAGACTTCCACCAAATAAAAACTTTCAGAGAATAGAAGATCCTTATAGGATGATTTACCTTAACTTCTAGCCCCAGAGAGATGGTCTAACTTATTTGGAAGTGGGATACAACGGACAGATATACAGTACCTCCAAAGAAAGGCCCCTTGCTCAAAGCATTCCCTTCCCTTTTGTCCCTCCTTGATATATAGGGGTTGATTTGGGTTACCAAACTCCTGAAATACAAAAATTCCCTTTAAAATACAACATCATACTGAACTCTATGTTCTTAAAATATGATTCCTGTCCAGTTATAGCTTATACAGACATTTTTTTTTGCATGTCTTATTTGATTCTCAAATAAAGTAGGCTGTCATTCAAATTTTACTGATAACAAAATAGAGAGTTAGAGGTTAAGTGGCTTGTTCAATGTTAAGAGCTGGTAAGGAACAGGATTTAGGTATGTGTGTTATTGTTCTTACTGGGAATGTCTTGAATCAACTGCTTAATGTAAGAGACACTTAACTATTAAATTACTGATCTAATTGATCCAACAGCAACTGTATTAAAGGAATGAAAGTAGTGGCAGAGTGATGTTGGTAGTGGTTAATCTTAGATGAAATAACTATAAATAGAGGAATAGCAGGGAAAATTAGCTTTACTGAACTATTTTGCTCATTCTGAGTGCAAAGCAACTGCAGATGACAACCAAAGGTCATCTTGTCTCTTTAGAGCTTTGTCCCCAACATCAAAGACTTACCTCCTCTTGGGACTCTTTAAGCAGCACTGAGTGCTGAATTTTCCTTTTGTTGCAATTTATTGGGGTTTGTTATATGTATTTGCAGTTGCTTGAAAATGTTGGCATTTCCCCTGAACTCCAAAGATGACTCAACTCTGAAAAGACTTGCAATTGGATATCCTAATTTACTTCTTTTATTTTTTTAGAGTGGGGATAATTACCAAGGAAAGAAATCTCCACATTCACCACATGGAGCCCTCAAAAAGAGATCAGCCTTTGAAGATCTCACCAATGTGAGTATGTTAGTCCAATCCCCTGATAAGGTCTTGCATAGGACTTAGACAGTCTTTTCCTTGAGGAACCTTTCCTGTTCACCTTAGTTGGAATGTTGAATGCCAGTTTTATTTTAAATCAGTGACTCAGTTTCAGCAACTGTATGGGCTCTTCTACTGGCATGTATCTGCATTAATTGGTAGATCACTGTGAAAACTTATCAGTGAAGTAATTATCAGATATGAAGTTGTAGATAAATATGGAAAATTACATTTAGGTAAAGTACAGAGACAGCTCAGCTGGTTCCCTGGAGGTAGTACTTTGATGGATTCACTGCAGTGTCTGTCAGTTCCAATACTATGGGTGTTTTGGGCAGGACAATTTCATTACTGTGTAGGGCTGATCTCGGCCAGCATCCCTGGCCCCACATATAAATTCCAGCAACATCCCAGTTGTAGTGACAATTTAAAATGTCTCTAGATATATAAAACTATTGAGCACCAATTTCATGATCTGGTCTACAATTATGAAGAAACTGAATTTTGACTAGATTTCTTGAATTCTCTTCCACATTACCTCTAGTCTGATATTACTAAGGTAGCAGAAGAAATCAGAATAAAGATTAGAATGTTGCTAATCGACTATACTATCAGATCAAGGCTAATCTTTGGTTTTAGCAAATAACAACTGATACCTACTGAGCACTTACCACATGTTAGGCAATATTCTAAACACCTTTTCCAGTGTCCACTCTCTTAATCCTCATATAACCCTAAGAGGTATATACTATGATGCTCTCCACTTTACATAATGAAGATTTGTCTGATTTGGTTTTGAAGTCTGTTTCATCTAGGAGGAGCCTGGTGAACAATTTCTGTTCTCTATATGGGAATGTCTTTCTGTGGCTACTAGATACTTGTTGTTACTCCTCTTTTCCCACCTTGGGCAAGATTGGATAAACTTTGGCAAAGATTTTGCCTTTGGATCCTTGCTCTTTGGGTGCTGTGTGACCATCCTTCTGCTAGCAGTCTTTTCCCCATGCATATTATAACATTTATGGTTAAGTTATAGCTTTCTGCACTATTTCAGGTTTACTGTAGATTGGTTGAGAGAGACCTCTCCTACACAGACCTGTAAGGTTAGGTTAATTTCCTATTTAACCAGGAATAGAGAAACTTGGCCGAAAGATCACCACACAAATCAGGAGTACATGCAGCCCACCTTAATGAAATTCCCTTGGTGGGAGTGTGGTGACACTGGGCCAATTAAGTTCCTGTAGCATGTGAGAAACTTCAAGCTATATTTCAGTCCTTTTTTCCCAAGAAGTTTGTGTAATTATTCATAAAGAATAGACAGAAATAAGCAAGAAATGCAAGTAAATATCCAGGACCCTTCTGGTTCTTCAGAACACAACAACCTTATCCAGGAGAAGGGTGGGGGAGCGAGGTATCCCTGAGCAGTGTCTCTGCCCCCAGGTTTCCCTTCTGCATTAAAATTCTAAAGATTCACTTTGGTTATCTGGAATGGTCTTTGATGTTTTTCCAGAGAACGTTCTGTCCCTACAACATGTCTAAGCCATTCCTAGGCTACATTTCTGTAGATATCTGAGCCCATCTATTTGAGGATTGAAGGTTCCTTTCTCTATAAATCTTGCCTGTGTGATGATTTGATTCTTCCTGTCAGTAGGACTCCATGTCCCCATATCTATTTTCTGTCTTCTCACCATTCACCACAATGAGGTCCTGACCTCACTGATCTCTTTTAATTAGTTTATTTGCTATAAGTGTTTTTTCTTTCCCCTCTCTTTAGCACTCCAGCATGGGAAGGACTTTTGATATGTAAGATCTGGTCCAAAGCCAGCAGACCAGGAGATATGGCCTATGTCTACATTATTGAAATAATTTTGTGGCAGGACAGTTTTTTGTCTCTGCTTCCCTATTTTGTGGTAAAAGCATGGAAATGTACAGGTAAAGGTCCCTTGAGCTTAGAGCTGAAAATATTTGTGGCTTTGTTTTTTATGTACAGTAGGTAGATTCACCCTGTGGTTTGGGGTTTCTACCTCCTTCCTGCCAAGAATGCACTTCCCACTTCAGACTCTCACTTGCACATATAGGGAGTTTGTAAAACTTTAGGTGAAGTTTAAAAAAAAAAAAACTGTGCCAAACTTTTTGAAGAGCTGAGGTGGATGACTTGAAATCCCAAGAAAGAACTTGCTATTGGAATATACATAGGTGCTTATTGGTGGTGGGGGTGGGGGTGTGGTGTGTGTGCATAATTTTTTTCTTATATTTCTTTGGGAAATAACTTTAAAATTTGAAAAAGATGCAAAAATGAAAAAACAACTAATAAAAGCCTGAATAACACACATATATCCTTCCCCTAGATTCGCCTATTATTAACATTTTATCCTATGTGCCTTACTATTTTGCATGCATACATCATGGCCTTTTTTCTCTCAAGTGCTATAGTGTATATTTCTGTTCTTAGAGCAGTTGTCCTGTATAACCACAGTAAAGTTGTCAGCTTTATGCATTTACATTGATACAATATTTTATGTAATCCATCATTCAGATTCCAAGTTTTTCAGTTATAAGGCCAATATTATAAACATTTTCCCCCTTCAGTAAAGGGTCCAGACCAGGGTCACATATTTTCTTGTCACATATTTAGCTTCTTTTAATTGAGAACATGTCCATAGTCTTTCTTTTTATGACATTGCCATTTTTAAAGAATACAGTCCCATCCAACCTCCTCTTTTAAACATATATCATTCTTCATTCTGTTGTTTGTATTTGATTAGATAGATGTTATACATTCTCCACTGGAAAGCTCTGAAGATGATGTTATGTCCCTAGGGTATCACATCTGGAGGCACACAGTGTTCATCTGTCCCTCACTGGTGTTCATTTGGATCACCTGTCTTTTTCCCTCTTGCAGCTAATAAACAGTTGGTGTGACACACGCTTAGGAGCCTGTAAACAATCTTCATTAAAATTTTCCTTAGATGCAGCAATTTTTGATATGGTTGCCTAAACCAGTCTTCAAGATGATTTTTCTAGTTTGAGTGCTCACTCCCCATTTACCAATCTGCCCTTGAGGTTCCCTGTTTATTATCGATATGGATTTATGAATTCCTATTTTCAGTGCTTTATTATTTATATAGTATTAAATTATTTTGGTGCTCAAATTATCCCAGGTTTGGCTAGGGAGGACCCTTTCAATATGACAACTGTCTCCTTGTATAACACATTTTAGGTTCAGCTCGTGCCTATTTTATCTCAGCCCTGGAATCAACCATTTTTCCTGAGAGTTCTGGTTTCTTTTAGAAACCAAGACTTCAATGCTAGGTGTGCTACTGGGGTGTCTGCTTTTTCCTACCCTTCAGCAGGCAGAACTAGGAAGTACCTGCGTGTAAAGAAATGCATGTCCACACATACATATATGTATTTAAACATGCACACATGCATCTAGATACTTAGGTATACACAGACATTCACACTTGTAATGATTTCAGAAATCATGAATTCATGCAACTCCTTTTCCAGTACACAGGCTTCTTTCTTGCATTCCCCAGTCCATATTCATATGTTCCTTCTTCTACAAATAGAACCCTCATTTCCAAGAACATTAACACATGTCTTCAATAATGTATGTAAAAGAGTTTCAGCATTAGTTTGTCCATACCATCATAATAAGCAAACCTACTAAAAGGAATTCCAGATTTGCAATTTACTTTGCTAACCCTGCCCCCACCATGTCTATCCTGACTGAGGATATCTATTGAGGGTGTATATTCAAATATTATGTTTATTTGGATTAATTGTTTTTGGTGTTGTATTTTTTTAACTTTAGTATGGTTATAGTATTAATTTGGATTATAACTAGGCTCAGTCTCTTTACTTTTAAAGGCATAACTTTTCAGTTTATTTTTACTGACATTCATAATCCTATGATCTCTCTGATTATTTAATAGAATTAGTCATGAGTAGAATTTGTGGTGCTCACTAGAATCATATTTTTAATAAAATCCCCTCACTGAGATGCAATAGATCTAGTAGGTTGTATTAGAGGTCTCCCTTGAAAAGCTCATTAATTGTGGCATCCCCAGGTAGCACAAACAGTTATTTTGCTTCACGCCCCTCCCCCCAAGCATCTTATGGTGTCAAAGTGAAATGTGATGTTAAAAAAAAAAAAAAAAAACTTGGGAATTTTCCAGTCAGTATACCTGACATCGAGATCATAGCTGCATCCTATGTATTTTGGAAGCATGTACAGCTGTTATTTAGTCAGTACACACAAGTGCTACTGTATTGTTTGTGACTGTTCGCTTCCACTGTGATTTGTCAACACCAGTGCCATTCTGGTTGTGAGATGTCTTGATTGTCATTCTTGGGAACACCCAAACAAGGAACTTTCCTCTAAGAGCCACCTAGTAGGTAATTTGTTGTTCTTTTCATTTCCTTATTTCTTACCACCCCCAACCCTGCCCTTTTTTTTTTTTTTGGCAGGCTTCTCAAAGTCAATGTGCACAGTCCAAGAATGAAGTCAATAAGGAGTGTGTTAAAGGAGTTTCCAGAAAGATAAATAGGAACTCATTTGCTCTTGGGCTGGCCAGAAACAATGAGATGAGTATGAAAAGGTGAGTAGGCGAAGACTGATGGCATTGTTTATAGAGCACAGCAGAGTGGGTGGCCTCCTTTGACACCCTCTGTGGTCCCCATGGAGAGCATGTATAGTAAGCCACGTAGTGATTACTCTGTTAACCCTGGATGCTAAAGTAGACCCAGCTGTGGTGGCTTAAGCATTGTGGGGTTCCTCTTTCTTCCTCTTTTCCCGTAATGGTATGAACATACCAAAAGAGTTGTGTTCTCCTTTGGGAATATTCCAGAGGAACTTGTGCTCACCTTTTCTGTTTTTAAGGACTCAGTCCCTGTTTGGGTTAACCTGTGATTGAGAGTGTGGGGCAGCTTAACTCTTTAAGGATCAGCAGCATCTGGCTGATAGCTTGCCAGTCTGCTTCTCCCATTGGGAGCTTTAGAGGGAGGTTTGCCCCTTGTTACTCAAGAGACATTTCTGCCTCCCTAGGCCAAAAAGATGTTTTCCATCTGTTATAGGGAACTGTTTATAGGTTCCATGAGTAGATACACATATACTTATCTAGGGTTGGAAAAAGAATTTGCACCTAGAACAAATTTTATTGAAAGAAGAGTTAAACATTTCTATATCCTCATCTCATTCCATTGGGAATTACTTCTTCAGGGAATAAGATAGATCACTTAGAAAGCTACAACAGGAGTACACATGGATTGCAAAGGGTAAGGAAAAAAAGGTTGGAGAACTCCAGAAAATTAGCTTGCTAAGTCCACAGGACATGTTGCTAATTATCCAGCAGAAAGAAATAGGATTAGTGTTTGGGCCCACTTGGTTTCTTTCTGAAATGGAATTTCTGGCATTTACATACATATATTGACCTTAATTTTCTTTCAAATTTCTGACTGTAGTGGGGAAACCCTTACAAAAATGCCATAAATATTCATTCAGTCTTCAGTGGATTGAACCCTAATAATAGCACTGGGATTTAATAACTTAATAACATTTGTTAAGAACTCACTATATCACACATATTCTAAGTGGGCCTTCAAACAGCTTTACTGAGATGTAATTCATATATACAGTTCACCCCATGAAGAGGAACCAGCAGCAGCGTAGTGACTGTGGGTAATAGTATGGACTGCATATTGGAAAGTTGCTGAGTAGTTCTTAAAAATCTCATCACAAGAATTTTGGTGGCAGTGAATGTTAATTAAGTTTGTTGTAGTAATTGTTTCACAGTGTATGCAAATGTTGAATCATCTTTCTTGTTACACACCTGAAATTAATGTTATATGCCAATTACATTTCATTATAAAAAAGAATTTTCACACATGAAAAGAAAAACGACTGAAATGAAAACTTGGGCCACCCTGGTGGTTGAAGGGGTTAAATCTTGGCACTATCAAGCTGTCAGTTGGCAACCCTGCCAGGGAGCTGACCCACATGGAGCAGCAGTCCTCTCCTGTCTCACCTGCTGCTACCCTCAGCAGTATATTTAAGTGGCTCCGCCTGTTCTGCTCCCCACTCTGTCTCTGGTGAATCCTCTCACCTTCCACACCTCTGGCCTGTACCCCAGTTCTTGTGTACATACATAAATAAAATAAATCTTAAAAAAATACATGAAATTAAATACTTGAGGCAGTGAACAGATTGGCTACTGCAACAAAACAAATAATTAGTTCAGAAATAGGAATCGTTAAACTTTGCCTATAAAAATTAGAAAAATAAATTTTAGGTTGTGAATTCCATATATATAGTTGCTGCTATTTCTGTTACTTCTGCTTTTTGTTATTATTGTTGCTACTATTTCTTAGTCACCCTTTAAAAATGTGAAAGCCATTTTTAGTTTATAGGTCATGGGCCATACTTTGCCAATCTCTAGTTTAGAAGATTAACTTATTTATTTAACATCATATTAGAAAATATACTAAAAACTTTTTTTAAAAAAAGATTTATCTATCTATGCATACAGAACTGAGGTACAAGCCAGAGGTGCAGGGGTGGGGGTTGGGGGGGAGCGGATTAACCAGAGACAGTGGGGAGCAGAACAGGCAGATCTACGAAGTAGCTGCTGAAGGGGAGCCACAGCCAGTCAGGAGAGGGCTGCTGTGCCATGTGGGTCACCTCTAGGGCCGAGGATCAAACTTACACTGAAGGGGCTGTGGCAGGCTTGCAGTGCCGCATCCTAATCTGTTGCACCACCAGGGAGGGCCCACTAAAAACTTTTGTTGGAGAGCTAGGAAAATTCCCAAAATCAAGAGAACAAGTAGAAGAGAAAACCATGATTTGACAAGTAACAGCAATATTTTCCTGAGCTGAAGATTTAATTCTTCAGATTAAATGAGCTCAGAAAGATGGATGAAAATGAATGTAAAGAGAAATCTGTATATATTATTTTAGCTGAATTCTAAGAAAAAAATTTAATTATTCGAGTGTTTAACAAAGAAAAAATTTTACATACAGAAGAAAAATAAAAGTCATGTACACATCAAACATCTTTTCTGTTTATTAATCACCAGGAGACAGTGGAGCAGCGTTGACAGTTTGACAAGTTGGGAGGATAGCCAAGCCATGGGTTTCGGTGCCAAGGCAAAAGAAAGAGCCTCCAGTGTCCGGTGATGCACAGTACACTCATTATTTACCCCTTCTGGATAAAAGTATCTGGACATGTACTCTAGGTCCCAGAAACAGTCACACGGAAGTATAGTTCAAGAGGAAAATTGAGCCATACAATCTGGTGACAAAAACTTCTGAGCAAATTAAAATGAATTTTTGATTGGGGTAACGTGGGTTTACAGCACTGGTTTAGAGGCGCAGGAGCTCCCCCTTCAGGTGTCGCTACTGCACCACACCCGCCAGCAAAGCGGGGTCCCCTGTGGCCCTCCCCACTCTGCTCTTTGCCCTCCCTTTTCCCTTCTGGTAGCTTCAGTTCTGCAGTCACATTTCTGGGGTTTGCTTTACTGGCCCTTTGTCCCTTTGTTTTGCTTCTCAGTGTTCGGCATGTAAGTGAAACCATCCCATAGTTATTTTTCCTTCTGACTTATTTTGCTTAGCATAATTGCCTCCAGTAGCATCTAGGTGTCACAATTTGCAAATATTTTTATCCATTCTGTGGCTTTTCACTTTCTTGTTGGTGTTCTTTGAGGCACAAAAGTCTTACTTTTGATAAGTCCGATTTATTTGTTCTTTTAAAATCAAATGTTATTGAATTGCCATTTGTCTGCAGAACTATATATTTTTGGGAATAAATTTGTGTTTTTAGTATCATAACTAAGAAATCATTGCTAAATACAAGATTATAAAAAAAATACTTTTGAGAGTTTAAAATTTTGAGCTCTTAAATTAGGTTTTTTACCCGGGCCCTCCCTGGTGGTGCAGCGGGTTTTTTACCCGGGCCCTCCCTGGTGGCGCAGCTTAAGCCACTTCTGCATGAGTTCGACCCCCGCCTGCTCCAGAGGAGATCCACATGGCGCAGCAGACCTCTCCTGACCCACCCGCTGCTCCCCTCAGCATTGTACTTCGTCGATCTGCCTGTTCTGCTCCCCACTCTGTCTTCTGGTGAATCCTTTCACCCTCCACATCTCTGGCCTGTACCCCAGTTCCATATGAATAAATAAATAAATCTAAAAAAAAAATTCTGAACACTTAGAAGAGTTTGGTACATAGTACCAGCATGTAGACTATTTAAAAAAAAATTAGGTTTTTTACCCATTTTGAGTCAATTTTTGTTGGTGGTAGGTGTTAGGAGTTCTAACTTCTCAGTTTTGCATGTGGATATATAGTGTTCTGACATTGTTGAAAAGACTAGTTTCTCTCCATTCAACTAATTGTCTTGGCATCCTTGTCAAAAATCAATTCACGGTGCAGCAGACCTCTTCCGACTCGCCCACTGCTCCCCTCAGCAGTGTACTTTGTCAGTCTGCCTGTTCTGCTCCCCATCCTGACTCTGGTGAATCCTCTCACCCTCTCGCTTCTCTGGCCTGTACCCCAGTTCTGAATGCATAAATAAATAAATATTTTTTAAAAAAGAAAAAATCAATTCTGTGTAAATATGTTTATGAACTCTCAATTTTATTACATTGCTCTACATGTCCGTCACTATGCTAGCACCATGCTATTTATACTTGCTGCTTGGCAGTGTATTTTGAAATTAGAAAATGTGATTCCTCTAACTTTTGTTTTTCCCCAAAGATTGTTTTGGCCTTTCTGCATTCCGTCCAGTTCCATGTAAATTTTAGAATCAGCTGGCATTTGTATAGATGTTACCTTTAATTTGTATGTCAGTTCAGCAAGTGTTGACATTTTAACAGTTCATGAACATGTGACATCTTTCCATTTATTTATATATTTGATTTCAAAACATTTTCCCTTCTTGATACTGTTGTAAAGAATTGTTCTCTTAGTTTCATTTTTATATTGCTTATTGTGAGAATATAGACATACATTTGATTTCTGTATATTGATTTTATAAGACCTTGCTGAACTTGTATAACAGCTCTGGTAGTTTTCATGTGGCTTACTTAGTATTTTCTATGTATCAGATCATGTTACCCGCTAAGAGGTTTTACCTCTTTCTTCCCAATCTGAATGCCTTTTATTTTCTTTTCTTGCTTCATTGCCTTGGGTAGAGCCTCCAATACTATATTGAATAGAAGAGTCAAGAGTTACACATCTTTGTTTTCTCCCTGATCTTAGAGAGACATCATCAGTTCACCATTAATTATTATGCCAGCTTTAGATTTTTTGGGTAGATGCTCTTTATCAAGTTGAGGAATCCTGGTTTTTTGAGTGCTTTTTATCATGATTTTCTACTTTGTCAACTGCTTTTTCTGGATCTACTGAAATGATCTTGTGGTTTTTGGGTTTTATTCCATTAATATGCTGTGGTGCAGGGATTGATATTTGAATGTTAACAACCCTTGCATTTCTGGGATAAGAGATAATGTTGGCCGCAGAATAAGTAGGGAACTGTTCGTTTCAACTTATTGAAAGAGTTCATGAAAAACTGTTATTAATTCTTCTTTAAATGTTTGCTAGACTTTAGCAAAGTGAAGCCATTGGGTACAAACTTTTCTTTGTGAGTACTTTTTGATTATTACTTCATTGTCTTTACTTGTTATAGTTATACTCAGATTTTCTATTTCTTTTTGAATAAGTTACGGTAGGTTGTGTCTTTATAGGAAATTGTCTGTATCAGTTACATGAACTGATTTATTGGCATGTAATTGTTTTGAATAACTAAGTGTTTTATACAGGATCTTTGCACAAAGTCTATTGTATAAAATATATACCTATTTTATAGGTAAAAAAAGCTTAAGCACAGAGTGTTAACATGCCCAAGGTCACTCAGCCAATAAGTGGAGTAGACAGGATTTGAATCCAGGTAATCTATCTCTAGAATGCATATTGTTTATCATAACTAAATTATCTGAAAACCACCTTGAAATCAGCAAAGACCTGCAACTGTCTGGTCAGGTAGAGGCTTTTGCCTGTTTTAATTTTTTTTTTTACAGTTCAGGTTTTTTGTTTTTTAAAATTGTATCCATATGTTTATATAGTCATTAGGAGTTTTTCAGCATCCCACAAAAAAAATCATACCTACTGGCAATCCCCTCTCCTTCCAAGCCCCCTCTCCTTCCAAGCCCCAGCCAACTACCAATCTGCTTTCTGTCTGTGGGTATGCCTTTATGGTCATGTTTATTGTATTAGTGCAGTAGGATACCTAGCTCTTTGGAGGCACTTAACTGTAGCTTACCAGTGATTGTATTTGATTTCATTCCTCTCTCTCTCCTTGTGATTGTATTTGATACATCTGATATGAACACATTTCTGTTTTTTAAAGATTTATTTATTCATGCATACAGAACTGGGTTACAGGCCAGAGGTGCAGGGGCAGTGAGACGATCTACCAAAGACAGAGCGGGGAGCAGAACAGGCCAACTGATGAAGTACACTGCTGGGGGGAGCAGCAGGCAGATTAGGAGAGGTCCATGGGCTATGTGGATCACCTCCAGGGCTGGGGATTGAACTCATCCTGAAGCAGCTTTAGCCTCTTAGTTCTGTGCTTTAACCCGCTGCGCCACTAGGGAGGGCCCCCAACACATTTCTATTTTGATAGTTTTATTACCTTCACAGGGAAATCATGTCATAAATGACCTAATGTGAAGGGAATGTGGTTAGACATATCAATATTAAGTTCCAGTCCACCTTTTTCTTATAAACCTTCATAATCTGCTTATAAGTTTCTCTCATATGCTTTTAAACATTAAATTCAACCTACATTTTCCCATATGCTTAGGGCTAATAGGCAAAGATGAATAATGCAGCTAGTGAGGGAGACTGATATATATGCGCATAACTCATTCAGTGTGGTGATATTAGAAGAGCTTTTGTATATAAGTATTAAATCATATGAGAAAGCCTAACATGGATTTCAAGGGGGACATTTTCAGGAGAGTGTGGAGGCCTAAGCCACAGGAACTACTTACTGATTCACTATTCATTGACTTTTACCAGCTAACTGCTTTCCTGGAGTTGGGGCCCATTCCCTATCTTTCATAGCAACAAGTTGATGCGGAAGTGAGGACTCTGGGAGCTGTGTTATACTTATTCAGACATTGTTTATTCTACAGGTGTAAGCTGGAACCCTCACCAGCATCAATCACTACCACCACTACCACCACTATGATATCAGACAAGGAGAAACCACTCATTGCAGTGAAGTCTGTCATCTCTGAAGCTCCTATGACTGAGGGGTCATCTTTTCCCAAAAAGCCATTAGTTCCCAGAGAAGAATTCACTACTGAGGAGACAGCCTGCATGAACGAGTTATTATCTTTAAAGAAGTGCAAAAATCCAGGGGAAGTACCCATCTCAGAGAAGCCACTATCCTTGCTGAAAGAGACTGACCATGGTGATGCATCTGATGTAGATTTGGGGAAGCATAAAACTGAGGAAGCAGCCGTGACCAAGAGCGCATATCAGGGGAAGCAGTCCTGCCAGGGTGAGGAGTCAGTCGTACAGGACATCAGCATTCAAGAGGATCCTGTCTTTATGGAGCCAGTGACCTTTAGGAAGAAACCTAAAACTGAGAAATCAAGCCCCAACAAGATGAATCGTGCCACTCAGGAGAAGATGACCTCTGTGAAGAATTCATTAGAATTGCAGAAGGCCACCTATAAAGAGAAGTCACTCATTAAGGAACCACTGTCCTTTAAGAGAAAGCCTACCACTGAGAAGTCTCTTTCCCAAGAACCACCAATAGTGGAAGAAATGCACACCAATCAAGGGAAGGCACCCCTCTTGAAGAAATCAGGGGCATTGCAGAAGAGTGCTGACACCAAAGAGGAAGCTCCTCTGGTCTCTGCTTCCTTTGAAGAGAAAAATTCCACCAATGAGTCAGGCTTGACCAAGAAACAGTTATCTTTAAAGAAGAAAAAGTGTGCCACTCAAATGATGATGCCTACGTGCCAAGAGCTGCCACATAATATTGACAAAGAAAAGGATTCCTTCTTTATGGAGCCAGCGTCATTTAGGAAGACACCTTCAATTAAGGAGGCTGTCCTTGCCAAGACATCAGTATCTTTAAAGAAAGAAATCACTCAGGGGAAGATGTTCCACTTAGAAAAGACTGCCTCTGAAGAGAAGTCACTTTGTGAGAAGCTGTTGACCTTTAAGAAAAAGCCTACAACTGAAGAGGAGAATCTGTCCGTGTTGAAGGAGAAGCAGCCCACTCTGCAGGAGGTACCCCCCTTAAAAAAGCCTTTGGTCTTGCAGGAGAGCACCACTAAAGAAAAGTCATATATTAAGGATCCATTGACCTTGGAGAAGCCTCCCACCAAGGAGTGTATCCATCTTCAGGGGTCATTTTCATTGCCAGTAAAATTTACCAGTGAAGATGGGTCCCTTTTCTGGAAGGGTTTGGGCTTGCAAAAGATTGATACTAAAGATGACTCTTTGAAGAAGCTATTGGCTTTGCAGGAGAAAAGTACCACTGAAGAGGAATCCCTTTGCAAGAAACTATTGGTTTTAAAGGATGAGCTCTCTGCTGAGGAGGCAACAAACCGGGAGAAACAATTATCTTTTAAGAAGAAGTCTACTTTCCAGGAGGAGAAGAAGAAAGAGGTCTTACAAGAGATCATTGCCAGTGGATGGGGGCCCCGTAGTAAGTACCCCTTGACCTTACAGGAGAAGCCAAGCACTGAGGAGGGTGCCCTTCCCAAGGAGTCCTTGGCCTTGAAGGTGATGCCTAGCATCAAACAGAAGACTAATCTGGGGGAAACCTTGGGTTTGCAGAAGGAGGTCAGCAGTGAGAAGACTTTCAAAGAGCCCTGGACTTCGCAGGAGACAGCCACAGATGAAGAGGAGGTTATCCTGAAGGAGTCATTGGCCTTGCAGGAGAAGCCCAGCAGTGAAAAGAAAGCCATTTTCAAGGTGCAAGATACCTCTCTGAATGGTACCTTGACCCAACAAGTTGAGAACAGCCCACATGTCCCTAGCATTAACCTCCTACCTGGAACCAGCAAATACAACACCACCACCATGCTCAGTGTAGACAAGCTCAGCACCACCACCGTGTCCATTGTAGGCAAGCCCAGCACTGCCAGCAAGTCCAGCGGCTGTGAATCCAGTTCCAATAAATCTTCCTCATCTCAGGGCGAGAGATCACAGGTATTCTGCTATTTCTTCTTAAGTTTGATTAAGTGTTCTTTGTTATATTGGTGGTAGTTAGCACAAAACTTATGTGATTTTCTAAGAAATTCAGTCTTCTATGATGAACTATAGTAAATCAAATTGGCTTTATAGAGTCTCTTAACTAATTTCTGATTGCCATAAAGACACAACCAAACAATTAGAAAGTATTTATTTCAAGAATACTCACAAGGGTCTGGAATGCTGGGTATATGTATTTGAATTCTGTAATACTGATTAGGTAATTTCTCTCAGGGAATTGCCTTAGTATTTGCAATCTGTCTTACAATGGACTTCAGAAAAAGATGGGTAAAATTCACAGAGGCGCCATCCAAAGAATTTTCTCTTTAAATTGTAAATTGGAAGAATGAAGAGATGTGACTGGAAAACAGGAGAAATTTTCTTGTAAGCAAAACAACCTGGGTAAAGGAATAGAAGGGAGGGGGAAAGGCTATCAAGAACCAAACCAAAGCATTGGGAATAGCAAGGCATCTAAGAACAGGGGCTATACACTGAAATAGTGTAAGAGTGTCTTTCTTGGAGTCTTAAGGCCTACCTGTAAATGGTGCCTGGTTGCTAGGGCAGAGAAGAAGCTATAAAGGAGGACTAAGTATTTCTTGGTCACTTGGCAGTATGAGGATTACAGGGCCAAGGAGGCCCCTAATGGCCCAGAATATCATGCCATACCTTTGCTTTATGAATGTCCAGGCTTTGAGGAATCTTAGCAGAAGATGAGCAAGGGAAGAAATAAGTCACATGTCTTTTTGTTGATTTTCAAGCAGATGACTCCATTGGAGGATATTGACATGGAGGACCACAATAATCCACTTTTCAGCTCAGTATATGCTAATGATATCTTTGGTTACATGAGGAAGAGAGAGGTGTGTATGGTGTTGGTGATGGGGGGTAGGGGGGGTGATGTCTAGTTCTTATTTCTTCACTTTGTCCTTCAAAAGAAAAACAAAAGGGGAGGTAATAAGAACTCCAGGGCCACATTTTTTCCAAGTATACCTTGGAGGTATACTATACTAAATTTGCTATACTAAAAGTATAGCAGTTTCACTTTGCATTGTTTATAAAGCAGAAACATTGCCCCACCCCAGACCTTCCAAATGAAAAAAGATTCCTAGCATGCATGCTAACATTTGAGAAGCCCCACTCTGTGTTGCACAGTATTGTGCTTTAGACTAAATTGCAAAGAAAGGACAGAACCTCTTTGGTATTTATATATAAGCCTTAGGTATTTCCATGCCTGCATTCCACATCCCCCTGGATTCCTCAGTATCCACCCTGATACACTAATCACATGTACAGCTGTTTCCCAAGGATGTCTGGAACTTGTCTGAAAATGAGACTTTGATCTGCCCTTATTTGATACCAGCCGAAAATAGTAAGTTAGAACTATGAAGAACTTAATTATATTAAATTACATTTTTTTCTGTTATCAGTTGTAAATCTTTCTTCCTAAATTACACTGTTTTTTTTTAATAACAGTTTATTTTTACATCATTTTGTGCATTTTCCATCTCAGTTGTAACCCCCTTGGGCTTCCCATCACCAAATCACCCATGTGCCATCACCATAGTCCAGTGCATTTCCCTCCCCCCACTGTTTTTGATCCCATTCCCCACTCCACCCCCATAAAATGTCTCTGGTATATAGCTGTTCATTATGATTACTTTCTCACCTGGTCATTTATACTCCAGTGAGTGAAACCATCCGGTATTTTTCCTTTTCTTTCCTGGCTTATTTCACCAAGCATGTCTTTTCCAGCTATATCCATGTTGCCGCAAAAGGCATGTGTTTATTTTTTGGGTTGCTGAGTAATATTCCATTGTGTATATGTGCCCCATCTTTTTAATCCTGTTATCTTCTTTTGGGCATTTGGGCTGTTTCCATGTCTTTCCAATTGTAAATAAAGCAGCAATAAACATGGTGCAGGTATCTTTTTGAATCAAAATTACACTGATATTTTAAAGATTTATTTATTTAGACATATAGAACTGGGGTACAGGCCAGAGGTACAGGGTTGGTGAGAAACAGAGTATGGGAGCAGAACAGGCAGATCAACAAAGTACACTGCTGAGGGGAGAGCAGCGGACAGTAAGGAGAGGTCTGCTGTGCCATGTGGGTTGCTTCCGGGCTGGGCTGGGGATAGAACTCACACTGAAGCAGCTGAGGGGTTTGGGTGCTGGGGGCAGCTAGCTTGCAGTGCTGCATCCTAGCCCATTGCACCACCAGGGAGGGCCTACACTTTTTGAGCTACAAGAGTTTACTTTAACATTTCTTTCTTAATCTCTGACAGGAGAAGTTCATACTTAGAAAATACATGACCAGGCAGACTGACATCAACAGTGACATGAGAGCCATTCTTGTGGACTGGTTGGTAGAGGTGCAGGTAAGGCTGACAGGTGCTTCCCTAAGGAGCTGCTGTTCTCTTTATTGGTTATTCATTCAGCATTGCCAAGTGCAAACTTGGTAAATATCTATCAAGCCTACAGAGCTGAATAAACCATAGTTCCTCCCCTCAACTAGCTTATGACCTAGGGGGCAATTTCAGACATGCAGATGATAAATACAAAGTAGAATATACTAAGTATTGTAAGAATGTTATAAGTAAGACACTGTGAACCTAGTGGAAGGAGAAGTTATTTCTAGAAAAGGAAGTGATACTATTGTAGCTCAAGCATTCTTAACATTTTGTAATAGTTTATTTGGTGATTTGGATAAGGACAAGTGGCAAAGTCTTTCAAGCTTTGAGTGGGGTTGGTAATAGAAAGATAGTGTGGCACCACATATGGCCGGTAGCTGTTCATCCATGGTTGGTTACTGAGGGGATATTGCTGGGAATACTTGTCACTTTACACTAAGAAAGATAGCCCAGAATAGTAGCTGGCACATAGTAAGGTATCAGTAAACATTTGCTATGGAATGGATGGAATTGAATAGATTGTTATAAGCTTTGCAAGAAAATATAAGGCATGCTCTATGTCTCCCAAAGTCTTATAGTGTAATTGGGAACAACAGGCAATATAGCTATTATCCTTTATAATATTATTCTTTAAGTACCAGAAAAGAGACTTATTTTAGATTGACAGATGAGAGAAATGTGTAATGGGTATGTCTGGACATCAGCAAAGCATGAAAGTGTCTCATGGAAATGATGAAGGATAGTAAAAATTAGGTAAGAGTAGAGTTTTAGTAGGTATTATTATGTATTTGTTTTTTGACCCATAAAAATGTTTTTCATTTGCAATTTTATATAAAGAACAGGCAGCTCAGAAATAAATATCAGAAGCCTCCTGAGGGGTGGTGTGGTGACATCCTGAAAGGAAAAATCACTTTTATTTGGGGGTTTAAGCTAACAGAGATCAATGGAAATTAAATATCATGATTGGAAAAAATGCAATGTACAATAACAAGAGGTCAGAAAATTTGCTAAACTTTGGCTTCTTGTTACAATGAATAGCAAGATTTTCATTGCACCATTGTTTTCCTCACATACATTAAATCTGGAAGCAATATGCCCTTTTCAAACTGTCACTTAGTGTTTTTTTCCCCCAACTCTCAAAACAAATATTTTTTTCTAATATCAAGTAGTTATTAGTGGAAGTCACAAGATACACATATTCATCAATGTCATACAGACTATAACTGAGATACCTGGAAAAATACCACCAACATTTATAGGAAAAGGTATTGGTTTTTAAAATGTGCAACATGAGTTACATAAACACACTGTTCATGTCCTTCTGAAAGCAAAATGGGGGGAAAAACCTTATTACTAAGTCTCCCAAACACCACATAAAAAAATGTTGCACAAGTGGTCATGAGTCCAGTATATATAGCAGAGAATTAAAACAACAGTTAAGCAACTCAGCTATCATTAAAATGAGTTGAAAGAGTGGGACTGTCGGTGTCTGGGTGATGGGTCCATGTGGTGACAGCACCCGAAGGTGGGGATCCTACATTTGTAAAAAACAAACAGTAGTGTAAACCAGGGTTACCGCAGTGTACAAAGACAACCAAACTTCTTTAATATGCAAATGATATTTTAGAAATGTCATCAGAACAAACAGAAATTTAATTACAAATTGGTATGGATTACATTCTATAATGAGTATTTTGTTTAGTTACCGGAAGAGAATCTGTCAGCAAATATCCTAGAAAAGCTGTGGATAATCATGCTTTTTGTTATTCCTGCAAGGAAATTTGCCAGGTTTGATGATAACTACATATTTGCAGTGGTTCTAGGAGTTCTACCTGTCAGGTAACTCAGTGATTAATAGGGACATTCATGTGAAATGGAGACCAAAAGTAGATACTGTGTCAGTACATACTGTGTTTTTATTTTTTTTATCACTAGATAAATGTAAATCATATCCAAAAAGGTACACCTATTTTATGTTCATGAAAAACCGTGGACTGCAAACTGTGTGTGCTTACTGTAACATTTTACCTAGGAAAGCCCAGAGTGGGATTTCTCACAAATATGCAATGTCGTGATACAAAACAAATTTGTTCAAAGTGTAAGGAGCCTAAAATAGCAGTTAATGAACTTATGAACTGAAATATGTCACTAACTGACGAAATATACAAGAGGTAGAGTTTCTTAGTGTTTAAAACAGAAAAATAACCATCATAGGCTTTCCCATGACTTCTTGTGTGACAGTTTGACTGCTTTATTCTGGTTCACACGTTCCCACAGTCCAGGTGTCTGAGTGATCTTTTCAATAAGTTCCAAGAAAGGCATACTGTACATCATACAGGTTTTTGTACTTGCCTCTATAAATAAAACTGGAAAGCTTTTGTGCAAATTCCAGGCCTCCACTTCTATCAACTTTACAGTTTTCCTTGTCAACTTGGTTTCCAACTAACATGTTTACTCTGTCATTTCTCATGCAAGTATACTTTGAATTCATATATCTGGTATAACAGATATTTCTTCTTGAAACATCATTAGTATCACATCCTGGGCATCTCTCTAGTAACTGGGAGTTAATATTCTGAACTTCTCTTGGCCAGCAGTATTCCATATTGCACGTTTAGCCTGATTTCCAGCCACTGAAATTGTTTTTGCCTTAAAGACAACACCTATTGTTGCTGAAAGTTCTGGATTGAAGTACCATCTCTGAACCTAAAGAGCAGCTGGACTTGCTTACATCACTCTTGTGGATGATGAGGATCTTCAGGGTGGTCAGTGCATCCTTGTCATTCTTGACCCTGCCCGATTGGGCCCAGGCGGCCTCTCTGGTCAAGTTCAACCCTTAACCCTGGGGAGCTACCTGCACCTGTGCATCCCATTTCAGCTGTCACCTTTTTACACTGGCTGTTTAGGTTGCAGGAGCCCAGGATACCCTGGTTCTGCCTTGAGGAAGCTCTGCATTTGTGCAAACCCAGAGACCTAGCCATTTTTCCGAAAGAGCTCTTCCTCCCATGCACAAACATAGATGGGAAGACTCATGTCTGGTGGATCTTAAATAAGTAAAATTGATCCCAAAGATTTCTAATCATTACCAAACTAGAAAGAGATTTCTAGTGGACTGCCAAGGGACTTTGTTGCAAACAATATTCTCATTGGCGTTATAGGTAAGAAGAAGAAAAGTCTCATCAGATTCCCTATCCATTGGGAATAGGGATAGGAAATAGATGGGTAACAGACTCAGTATTTCCACTAGCTAGAATGACTCTTGTTATTTTTATTGCATAAAAATGACAAGTTAGAAATTCAAGTTACCTGTGATCCCATAAGCCACAACTGCTGTTAACATTCGTGTGTATATTATTAAAATAAAGATGCTATTTCTCCCCCCCAAAAAAAATTGTTTTAGCTATTCTAGTTCCTTTGCCTTTCTCAGTACATTTTACAGTCAGTTTATCTATATGTAATTCTGTAGAAGTTTGTTGTTCAGTTTTCAAATATTTAGAGATTTTAACCTGTAGCAGTAGTGGCAACTGATCCCCACTGAAGTTCCCCGACACCAGCCACAGGTCATCCTTGTAAAGGCCTTTCCAAGGGCAGCAGCGTCAGGACTGTTAAATTAACTCTTTCTGCACAATGTGTAACTCAATTCCAGTCAAACTCCCAGAAATATTTTTACAGATCCTGTCTATCTGCCATCTTCTTCCTTGTCCTTACTTTGGGTTTAATTTGGTCTTCTTTTTCTAGTGTCTTAAGGTGGAAGCTTAGACTGTGGATATCAGATCTTTTTTCTTTTCTAGTAGAAGCACTTAATTTTATAAATGTCTCCCTCAGCACTCCTTTAGCAACAAGTCACAAAATTTGGGAGACTTCATCTTTGTTCCTTTAATTCTTTAGAAGTTTCTTGTTTAATTTTCAAATGTTTAGTAGTTATATTATTTTTCTGTTACCAGTATCTGGTCTAATTCCATTGTGGTCAAAGAAGACCACAATTATTTTAATTTATTAAGTGTCTTATTACCCAGATGTGAGTGTTCCATGTGTACTTGAGAAGAATGCATGTTTTCTGCTGCTGTCAGGGTGGGTGTGTTCTATAAATGTCAGTTGACTCAGTTGATATTCATTCATGATTCATGCTGATTCTGTATATTCTGTTTTTGAGAAAGGAACACGAACGTTTTCAGGTATAAATGAATTTGTCTTTCTTTTTTCCATTTTGTGATTTTTTTTTTTTTGCCTTTGTGTATTTTGAAATCTTGTTAGGAACATATTAATCTAGAAATGTTGTGTCCTCTATATTTTTTTTTTGGTAGCTTTAATCTTTTTTTTT